GACGCCCGAAGCGCGACTGTCTTCGCGGCCCTGGGGGTGACGTAGATCATGGTCTGCCCCCCCCCCCCTCCCCTCCCGCCTCGTTCTCCTCCCCCTACTCCAGCTCTTCCTCATCATCCTCCTCCTCATCCTCCTGGCCATCCCGGGGCGGTCGCCCCCCTCCTGGCCCTCCGTGGGGGGCACAGCCTACGGCCAACAATCGGCGAATTTAAACACCAGAAACTGGCCCTGGCGGAGCCGGGCGACAACGGCCGAATCGAAAAGGATCCGACTTCAAGAAATCAAGCCAAGCCGACCCCGTACCAAATAGCACGCGATGTCGAACTGGCTTGATAGCTTGAGGTGGGACCCCCGTCGGCTCGCCCCCAACCCCTGCCGTCGTGCTGACGGACCCCCGCTCATCAGCCTGAAGAGCTAGGTCGCGGTGACCTGGGGCGGCGCAGCGATGTCGCCCTCGAGCGTCCTGCGGCGCTTGCGCTTCGCCGCCAAGGCCATCTTTTCTGACGCCACAACCTCGGACAGCTGCACCTGGCTCTTCTGCGTCTCCAAGAACGACGACGAGGCCTGCTTGGCCTGGGCGAGGTTCATCTTCGAGGCCTTACCCTTGAAGAGCGACACCGCGCGCACCCTGTTGTTCAAGATCGCAACGTGGGCCGAGGTCTCGTTGAAATTGTCAATGATATCCTGGCCTCGAGGGGCAACGGAAGCGGGGGGGGGGCATCGCCGACGAATCGCGCCGCTCGCATCGCAATCAATTGCCCAATCGTTACCAGCACTGCCGTCGCCACCTGCCCGCCATCATCATCGCCCACTCGTCGTCGAATCCTACTCGTCGCCGACGCCGAAACCTACTTGTCGCCAAAACCTACTCGCCGTCGAAACCTACTCGTCGTCGAAACCTACTCGTCGAAACCTACACGAGATCGTCTACCCGCCGCCGAGACCTAATCCCCATCCCTCCTAGCCAGGTGGCCTGCGGGCCACGGCCCCTCCAGCTCGAAGCGGGCGCCCGAGATGCGGTTCACGGCCGCGTCCTGCGGAGGGCTGGGGGGGGGGGAGGGGGTGGAGGGGGGGGGGGGGGCGGCGCCGCTCCTCCTCCACCGCATCATCCTCTCCTCCCTCCACCCCTCTCCTCCTCCGCCTCCTCCTGATCATCCTCCTCCTCCTCCTCCTCCTCCTCGCCCTCATCCTGAACAAATGCATCCGTCCTCCTCCTCATCCTCCTCCCCCCCCTCAGCCTCCTCCTCCCATTCCCCCCCTTCGCGCCCCCTCCGACCCCCCCCCCCCCCCCTCCCGCCCCTGAAAGAAAACGTCCTTCTCGACGGGTTCCAGCGCGCCCTCGTCGACCGCTCCAGGGATAACCTCGAAGCAGCAGTGAGGCGCCGTCCACCTGAGCACGCCGCCGCGCCGCGCGTGCTTGAAGAAGCCCCGACGCTTGGTCAGCGTCTGCCTGTCCTCGATCTGCTTCCGAAGGAAGCGCGCCAGGACGTCCTTCGTGGCCATGTCGCCCTGCGCTGGGAACGTCGATGGCAAGCCTAGGGGGGGGGGGGGGGGGGGGGGCAAGCCGCGCGCGCGAAAAAAGAACCAGCAGAGATAATGTGCCGAGCATCGGAGACAGCCTGGGCGCAGAGAGGCTGAGGCGGGGAAGGGACGGGGCGGGTCGATCAGCAGATCGGGAGGTGACACGGGTGGGCAGGTAGCGCATGCATGGGGGCGAGAGGCGAGGGCGGGCGAGCAGGGCAGGAGCGGTGAGAAGGGGAAGGAGGTGAGGAGAATGAGCGGTATACGAATGAAGGGTGGGGCACAGCACCTTAAGAGGACGCGGAGGATGCCAGATGACGAGAGGAACGAAGAGGGGGAGGAGGAGGAGGAGGAGGCGGCGGCGGCGGAACGGTGAAGGGCCGAGCGTTCGAGTCTCAAACTGCCCAGACATCCGATTGACTTCGGAATCTGGCGACCAACCGTGCGCTTTACAGCGAGAAAGCGGCCCCCACGGCGGGAGCCCCGAGGTGAAATCGCCCAGCCTCGACTTAAACCAAGAGAAAGCTTCGGAAAAAAACTGGGCCACTTCGGGCCACCATCGCGTGAATATTCTGACCAGGTCTTTGAACTGCTGTCGAGAGGAGGGTGCAGGGACAGAGGAAGCAGGGAGCCCGGCCTGCGAAGCCCTCGCCCTGGAATGACGGGCAACAGCCTGTGGCGCCTCACCTCGTGAGGCCGAAGTCGGCGACGAAGAGCTCCGATACGAAACGATCCCGATCTGCCTGCCTGCACCGTTCTCACACTTCCCACTGGGCTCAGCTGCCGTATCTCTCGCAGCCGTCACTTGCATATCATGCGTAGCGCCGCCATCAGTAGTAACTCTGTCGCCGTCTCGAATTTCAGCTGCCATGCCACTCGCATCCGCCTTCGAGCCAGACGTCAACATCTCAGTATTGGATACTGCACTAGACGTCACCCCAGAGTCTCTCAGATCAGTCCCAGCGTCAGTAGTTTGATCAATCCCTACGGATGACCGATACCCAGACACGCTGGGGATCCGACATCCTACATTAGTCGGTAGCTGGCGTCGAGGGCTGGCGTTGGGAGGAAGCTTTACCTCTGCTCGAACTCGTCGAGAGCCAACTGCATCACGCGCTCGTTGTGGCTGCGTGGTGCGATCCCCACCTTGTGTTCTGCCCCGAGTTGTTCGAGGCAGGCGGTGAAGCACTTCTGGAGCTGCGGGTCGCCGAGCGAGATCACTAGCTTGGCTGCGCCCTCGCGGTAGGCTGAGCTGACCCGAAATCCTCGTACAAGAATCGTGAGCTCCTCCTGGTCGGTGATCGCATCTAGACGCGCCTTGTGGTTCTCCCAGCTCGCCCGATTCTTGGCCCCCACCTTGTCGCCCTCCTTGGAAATCTCGGCACATACTATCAGGAAGATCTGCGCACATGCGGGGCCCATCACCGCCTCGGGGGTCGGGTTCGTCTGCGGGTCGGCCTGGTGTTTTTCTCTGAGAGTAGCCGCTGCCTGAGCATATGCTTTGCCCGCCTGGAAGGCGGCTCGAATCACTGGGGCGTCGTCGCTCATCGTGAACGTCTGGAACTCTGCAGCCGTGATCTGACGGAGCTGGAACGTGTTCCCGAGAACTGCACGGACGAGAACAGGCATCAACTTGGCGATCAGCTGGGCGTCCATCTGCGGAAGACGGTCGGGTGTCGAAGGGTCTAGCCCGTAGAGCTTGCCTAGATCGTCGCGCCCGTTGTCCCGTGGGCGGCCCCCCCGAACTCGCCCTGCGTCTGCTGGCGCCGCCTCCGCCGCCCGTGGTAGCTGCGGTCGTGCCTGTGGGGGCTGTGAATCTCGACGTCCTGGACGGCCTCCACGCTGACGGGAATACCCGTGCGACCCACTGCGGCCACGCCCTCGCGCCCGCTGTACCCCTGGTCCGCCGCGGCCCTCGGAGCGTGACCTGGCCGCTCCCTCGAGGTGCTCTGCGGTAAGCCTGAACATCGGCCGTGCACGGGGCTGGGACGTGGGTGGCGAGGTGTCGCCGCAGCTCCTCAAAGGACTCGAAGGGCTCGTCCCTTGAGCAATAGTAAGCTGCGCCATGGCCACCGCGGAGGGACGCCGCTGTAATGCTGGACAGAGGGCACTGCAGGGACATGGGGGCCTCCAGAGGGTGCTGATATACGGTGACTAGCGGGCACTTCCTGTTGAGGACGGCGTGCAACGTATGTTCCTGGGCGATCCTTCGAGTTCTGAAACGTTTGTTGGCAGTAAATGCACGAGTTCGTCACAGTTATCGAATGCACAATAGACCTATACGAATGCCCACCTGCCCGAGAGAACCGCTGATGAGCCAGTAGGGCCCTTCGCGTTTTGAAGACACATCCACACACATGACCAGTACTGTCGGCAATATCACATACCCACGGACACGGTAGTGGTGGAGGGGCGGGATCGTCGAGGCCAGCAGGAGCAGGGGCAGGAGCGTAGAGGCCAGGTGGAGGTGGTATGGCCACTGCCTTGGCCGCGGCCCGCAGGACACTAGGGTCCAGTCGCAGGGGCCGATCTCGTACCTCTGGGTCCTCGAAGAGCGCCCGTATGTTGAGCCTGAGGGGGTCTGGTGTTGGGGCCTCGTACACGAACAGGGAGTCCAGGAGGTCGTTTTCTTCAGATCGACGCAGCAGACGGATGACATCGACTGCGAAGCGCCATGCATATGGATTGGCAGACTCGGCCAGCGTGCCGTCTGCCGTGAGCGTCGGACACTCCTCCACAGGCAGCTGCCCAAATACTGCAGCCACCTCCTGTGCATGCCGCTCGGGAAAGAGGATCCACCGACGATGCACCCGAAGTCGGCGCACTCGCAGCTCGGTGCCGCATGGTGCAATGCCAATGCGACGAAAGACACACTCGTCCGAGTCAGCTTTGTACTGTACCTGCGGGCTGCCGTCGGGTGCTAGCAGCGGAGTGCCTAGAGCTGCATCGAGAACTGGGATCTTCTTGCAGGCGTCACCCCCGAGGATTTTACGTGCGAAGCCCGCGAGAACCTTATCAACAGCTCTCTCCTGCGTCGTCGTTAGTATCTGCGTCGTTAAGCCCGTAAGGAGACCACCCTGGACCACCGCCCCAAAGACCGTCCGAGTAAATTTCCAGACACGATTGCGAGCCCAGAACCGTCCCATAGAATAGTACCCTCGTCGACACGCTAGAATTCTCCTCCTGATCTCCACCTGAGTCCCACCGTTTACAGCACTCGAGATCCCCAAAGTAATACTGTCGAAAACCACCTTGCCTGCAACTGGAACTTCCCCTGTAAACATGGCCCTGGAGTAGACCTGGGAGCCAAGGCCAGCATACGAGGTGAAGCCTCAGAAGCGAGGAGGGGGGAGGAAACGAGACAGGAGGCCAGCATCCATCTCAGAACCCACCTCATGGCCCCTCCCCCAGTGACCCCTGGCCCTCTCATCGTCCTAGGCCCTACCCCCCCCCCCCCCCCCCCCACCCACCCAGCGAACTAACGCTGCATCCTGCAAAAAAAGAGCCTGTGATATAGTCCTGCACGCCACGGTGGGTGGCGCTCTTCTGGCAGATGAAGTCCACGCAACCCTCGGGGATCTCCCCGCCCTGGATCTTCGCACACAGCGTGAAGAACCAGGCGCCAGGCACATCCCCGAGGGTCTTCACCTTGCCGTCGAACGACGGATTGGTGGACAACTCCTGCGCGCGGCCCTTCGCCGTCTTCTTCGAGGCGCCCTTCTCGCTCGAAGGAAGGATGCCCTTCGCGGGCTCGGAGCTCAACGCCTCGATGGGCGGCACCCTGGCGGGATCCTCGGAAGGCGGCGGGGGGGGGGGGGGGGGGGGAAGGAGGGGGGGCGAGGAGCGAGGAGGAGGGAGGAAGAGGAAAGCGGACGGATGAGGAGGAGGGAGGAGGAGGGGGGCGGAGGGAGGAGGGAGGGGGAGGGAGGGAGGGGGGAGGAGAAAGGAGGAGGATGAGGAGGATGAGGAGGAGGAGGAGGAGGGGGAGGAGGAGGAGGAGGAGGAGGAGGGGGGAGGAGGAGGAGGAGGAGGAGGAGGAGGAGGAGGAGGAGGAGGAGAGGAGGCGACGGAAGATGGGGGTCGCACGGTGGCATCACTTCCCTCCTCCTCCTCCTCCTCCTTTCCTCCCTCCTCCCCTCCTCCTCTTCCTCCTCCCCCGTCTCCTCCTCCGCCCCCATCCTGTAACATATCCCCCGTGCGTCCAACCATTAACATCCTATCGCCGCCAAAAAAAACAAAACCACCATTGGATCCTCAAGAAGCCGATGGACGATCCCCGCGATCGTCTTGGCGCGCGCGTGCAGCACCTGGCCGTCGACCTGCAAGGGCACCTCGTCCTCCGAGAATGGAGGGCCAATCCCCTCCCCACCCCTCCCCCCTTCCCCGTCATTTCCTCACCCCGTCCGAAAATCCCCCCAGCCCCTCCCGCCCTCTCCTGCCACCTCCTTCGTACTCATCCTCCAACCTCTCCCCGAAAACCCCCGCCGTGGGTACCCAGAAAACGGGGTCCTTCCCAGACAACACCGCGATCAACATCTTGATCTCCGCCGACAGAAGCGCTGGCTTCGCGCGCTTCGGGGCCATGGCGCCGCCCAGTCAGGGCGACACGAAATTCACGCGCCGACGGAAACAAAGGAGGCCGTGCCCCGGTTCGGGCCGCGGCGGCGAACGGCAGGCCAACAACGTGAGTGGTGCCAATCAACGCAAAGAGGATGATTGAAGAAGGCCCCCCCTGCCCTGCATGACCATGCCCTGCGCCCCCGCCCCCCAGTACACCCCCAGTTCCTAATCCCTTACTCGGCCCCCCATTTACTCCATCCCCTCATTTCCATCCCCTCGCACCATCTCCATCCCCTCATTTCCTCCAATCATCCTTACCGCATCCCTCCATATTTTGTTTGTTATTTGCTTCACTACACGCGGCAACGCCAGTCGCTGAAAAAAAGGAGGGCCCTGATGGGGTCATCGGGACAGGGTGGGGTGGTCGGGGGTGGGGGTGGATAGTTCTGTTGTGAACCGAAGGCGGACTTAAGACTTAGCGGGCCCCGTGCGCGGGCGCCTGCGGGCGACGCCAGACCCTGCACCACATGCCAATTCATGGCGCGCCCCCGCGGTGAGCGCCCTAGCCGACCCATGAACCATTCCGAACCTTATGGTGAGAAGCAATTTCGCCCCCCCTGGTGGCCGCAACCATCGGCATTCCCGATCAAGCAACGACTGGATTACGCAAAGATCAGGCGTGTAGTCTGACCGAATTCGCAGCTCTTTCGCAAATTCGGCATAGTTTTATTTTATGGCGACCGCCTAATTACTTTCCTGACCTACTCGCTGGCAAGTGTGGCCTCTTGTGAGCTCCGGGCCACGCTACGGGTGCCAAACGATGCCTCACCCTCCCGGGATACTCCCAGCTGCGCAACTGTCCTCATGTTCGTGAGCTCCTGGGGGTCATGCCAAGGGCGGCCATGCGCGGACACAAGCGTCAGATCGCCTTCCATTGGCGCTGCCAACTGCACAACTGTCGCCACATTCTTGCGCCTTTCCCCCTCCATGTCATAACTTTCATTGCCACATACCAGTCGCGTGGTCGTGCAACGCTTAGGCCCATTCGTAGCTTTCGCAAGGTATCGCGGGTCGCGCTCCTTGTAATCTCATCGCTCGTTGAGGAGGGCCCGTTGACGTTGCCACATGGGTTGCGTGAGTCTCCGCGAACTTTTCCAGCCGCTCGAAGGAGCTGCTATAGTGCGAGGAAGTCTCGGGAGAAGCGGTCGAATGACCTACCTCTCCTTCTCGTCCCGCGGGGCGGGATTCCCTCGAACAATTGAACTTCATATGCCACGGTCCCGCGCAGGGACATCCCCCGCTGCCCAGCGGCTGGTTCCCAGAGGCTGTCGACTCCACCTCTCGCGCCTGGGGCCCGGGTTGTTTTCTGTAGGTTCCAGGACCCGAAAGGGGCACAAAGAGGGGGAACCACCATGCACGGCCGCGCAGGTGTCGACGCCGCGTCGAGGCGGCGCGAACCTGCCTGCCTTGTCCTGGCCCACTCTCGTACGGCCAAATCCCGTTTGAAGAACCAACTGCGGCGGAAGAACAATGTTAACCTCCCCGTTGGCTATGTACGCTGAGCACCCGGCGAGTGCCGTGTCGTCGACGCCGCTGCAATCGTGGCAGAACATCGCGCCAATGCCGCGAGCGTCGCGCTTGCGAGAGCACCTTAGACGCACAGATTGGGGTATGATCGCAAAGGTATATGTTACGTGCCTCCCTCCGGATAGTCGTCAGTGAGATCAGGAGACGGCTGGAAGACCGCACCGGAACAAACATCATTGGCTCATCGAAACACCCTGGTCAACGACAGGAGGATCATGGGTGGTTGGCACACAAAAAAATCTTGACCTACCAGACGTGGAACAAATGAAGGTGCTACCTCAACTAAAGCTGGGCATCAAGAATGAAGTCATTGTGAGTCTAGGCGAGGTGAAATAGATGGCTTGGATACGAGCTGTCAGCAAAACATAATTGACGAGCGTGGCCATGGGTCCTCCTGCGATCAGAAGAAAATCGAGTGAATCAGCCCATCGGCAATTATTACTCCATTGCTCTGAATGACGGCAAGGCGCCGAGCTCGACAATGCTCATGCAATGCAGACCGCATCCGTGTTGCAGAGCGTCCAGCGGGTTGCCTTCTCTTTATCGGGTTATCTACAAGCTTGGTCTGGCTTTCCCACTAGGCGCCAGGCGTCTCGCACGGCAGCCCTGCCATCTGCCACAGTCGCACCTGGAGGGCCGTTGAGAAATGCACAGGGCACACGCCAATTCGATCACCACGCCCAGGTGCTCACACTGCGCGCTCAACTTCACTCTGATGCAAATAAGCCATGGCCCTTGCGCGCAGACTGCACCGCGCCAAGTGTAATGAAAGGTAGTCCACGGTCCCAATCGACGACTCAACGACGACCCCACGCCTAATTGCAAGGCGAGGTCAGCGCACCTGAGCGCACCACAGCATGCAATAAAAAGCACATGCACGCACCACGCTATTCTTGCGAGCGTTACAATACGCCCGCAATCGCCACACTTCTCTCGCGAACGACACAACGTGCCTGTGAGCACCACAGCGCGTTTATAATTACCAGACGGCGAGGGAAGCCAAACCCTGCCAGAACCTGAACATCCAACGAGCGTCACAACTATGCGCAAAAATATGCTGGACACTGCCAGTGCCATAGTAGCCTGCGACCGTTACACCAGCCTGCGAGTACCAAGGCCTGCAAGAGGTCACAAGAAGACCACACGTCTGCACGATGTTTTGGTAGGGCAGACCCTGCGAGTACCAGAACAGCCTGGGAGCGCCCGAGTATGCCCGAGATCGACACGATTTGCCCGACATCACCCCAGTAGCCTGCCAACACCACAACGAGCCTGGGAACATCATTCTGTGCTTGCGACGAACTGACGGCGAGGGAAGCCAGACGCTGCCAGGGCCGAGGTCCGCCGGCCCCCTTGTGGGGCCATCAAACTGCGAGGTTTGGGTTTCAGTACCTTGCATCAATTGCAGTTTCCAGTCTCAAATGTTACAATCCTGTTTGTTATGCTTCTTGTCTTGTTGTAAATGGTTAAAATCCGCGCGAAGGGGGGGAGCCGAAAAGCGTCGGGTTACCTTCCCCGAGTCGCGTTATCTGAATTCCTGCGGGGCCGTGGGGCATGTACAAATACATGAGCGACGCGAACATCCTTAGTAAAGTGCAATGTGTTCGCGCTCAGCCACGATCCCATGCAAATTGCACTACATTCGCGTCTGCCCCGAAGCCAGAATCATGCGTAAATGAATCAATACTCCCGTCCCCGAGGCAACACACCGTCGCAAAATGCTAAATAATCGCGCCCCCGAACCCCGATCCCTCGTAAATTCTTGACGCTTCGCGTATCCCCACCAGCCACGGGGAAAATGGTTAGTGAAGATGGTTACTGAAGGAGGGTAGAGCACACGGACTCAGACCCCCTAGCGCCGATGAAAGGGCGAGGGCGGTAGGCCTCGCCGGCTACTACCGCGGGCTCAGGATAAGCGACAGGGCGCTCTACAACGCCGTCGGCATACACTTCGATCCACGGTGCCTGCAGCGCAGGATTGTCTCAGTGCTGCGAGCCTGGAGCGCGAGGCGCACCACGGACGCAGCCTGCAACCCTGCCCCTGCAGCAACCAGATAGCGCAGGGATGGACAGCAGCGCGAACGTACGCAGGAAGGCACTGAGAGACCACCCCCTCCCAGACGACCTCGCAGAGCAGCTCCTGCGCGAAGAAGCACTCTTTCCCGAGCTAACGCGCCCCTAGGCTCCACCGAGGGCCCCAGCACGCTCCATCAGGCGCTGGGGTCCCCCCCCAGGCATCGTCTCGTGCCGGGGCCGCGCACCAGGGCCTGGCAACTCGCCCGAAGCGCGCTCATACGGCGCTCGAAGCCCTCTGTCAGCACAAGATCCTGGGACCAAGGGGCCTTTGGTCTCTCCTACACACCGGCCCTTGGAGGCAACCCACCTGGGACTCGATGTGTGGTAGCCTCACACTAGACGACGTTATACGTGCGCTCAACGCCACCCCAGCGTGCAGTCTGCCCAGAATTAACAGTTGGAACGTAAGATATCATCGAAGTTGCACCGCGGCTAAGAATCAAATCAAACACGCTCTTCTCACCCAAGTCACGATGAATAAGCGGATCGCCCTGATCCAAGAGACGCATTGGTCCGAGCACGAGGCAGAGGTATGGAGAACAATGTTCCCTGCGAGGACCCTAGTGGCCTCCCCCGGATATCTGGGGCCGACCGGCGGGCTCGCTGGAGGAAATGGCATCCTCCTCCCCCACGGGATCACCCCCCTCGAGCACCAGGTCATGGTCCTGGGATGTGCCAGTGCCATCGCCGCAATTGTCCAGCAGCACGAAAAGAGGTTTCGTGTGGTCTCGGTGTACCTCCCTCCCACCAGAAAGGAAGACACCCTCTCCGGAATCGGCACTGCTGCAGAACAATGGGAGCGTCTCGACACTTACTGGGGCGGGGCTGTCACCCTACAGCTCAACCAACCGAGAGACGGCGAGGTGGAGGCCTCGGCCCTGCTGAGGGACGTACTAACAAGCTCGGGCTCTGCCGCCATACACATGACCGGACCCACCAGAATCGACAAGGATAGCGAATCTCATATCGATATGTTCGCATATCCAGTCCGACAGAGCTGTGCATACGAATCCCGAAAACTTTGGAGACTCACGCTGTCAGACCACGCCCTGATCTCCCTCGAACCACAAGGAGCAAGAAGGGCGAGAAGAGAAGATACCATGAGGACTGCTGACCTCAGGAGCCTCCCCACTGCTGCGCACGCGGACCTTCGACAGCTTTACTCCCACCTGGAACTCATCTTTGGAGTCCCGCCTGTCAACCTCACTGGCCTCCTCCAGCCGATCGACTGGGTTACACCGGCCTGCCCGGGTGGCTTCCCCGACTGGCACTTAGACAACGACGACGGCGACACCTCCGTCAGTAACCTCCCCAACGCGCAGCAGGACGCTGGTGAAGGGGTGCTCGACGTTAACCTTAACCCACCTGTCCTTCTTACCCTTATGAGGTTCGGGAGGCGCGCCCTCTCCTCCGCCCTGCAGGACTTGTGGAGGAAATGGAGGAGACACAAGCCCCGCGCCTCACCCGGCTTCCTGCTAGCCTCGGCCAGCCAGAGGGACAAGACCACGCGTCCTGTGGGTGCCCTGGCAGCCTGGCTGCACGAATACGGTTGGGACGGACAGGACCTCTCCCCAGACCAGGCAGGCCTTTGGCTCAGAAGATGGGGTGCCGAGGTCACCCAGAGAAGAGCAGCCAAGCTGTCCCCAGCGCAAAGAGGTCCCGGAGCTGAACGCCCCCCCCTGGCTGCCCATTACAAGACGGGGCGGGAAATATATAAGAAAACCCACGCCATCCTAGGGGTACGACAGACCCAACCAGGTCGACAACGTCCTCTGGGACAGCCGCAGCGCGATATGGCACTCCGCCCCCCCACTCCCGAACTTCGCCAGGAGACTCCTCGATCTGTACTTTCAGCACCACCCTGGTGTCGAAGTCTCAGACAGGCCCAAGCCAAACTGGGGCAGATTAGCAGCCATTGTCCTCAACCCCGGCGGAATCGCCCCTGGGGTGGATGACGTGCCTTACGAAGCATACCACCCTGGGGCCAGATTTGTGGCGTGCCTCATTGCCCAGGCTTGGTATGCCGCCGGCCTCAACCCAGCACTCCTTGAGGAGGTGATAGGGCCTTCAGTAGACCTGCTCGTGTGGATCGGGAAAAAGCCTGGTGCTGAAACCCCCAATGACATGAGACCGCTCCAGCTACCCACGTGCAAACGCCGGCTGTTTGGAGCCTCCTTGGCTGACCTAGTCGGCCCGGCTGTCGAGGCGCTCCTCAGCCCGAATCAGGCGGCCAAAAGAGGAGGCCAGTGCGGCCCCAATATCGCGAACGTTACCCAGCACCTGGGATCTCCCCCCAAGCCCCCAACCGAGCCAGGTCCGGCCTGGGCCGCCCTCTTGGGTAGGCATACTGCAGCTGTCGACGCATTTGTCAAGCAAGCTGCCGCCGCGGTTGGGAGCGCCCCTTGCACGGCAGTGATCTTCTGCGACCAAAACAAGGCCTTCGAGATAATCTCACTACAATGGACGGGGAGCCTCCTCCGGAAGCTCCCCCCCTGGCTGCTGCAAGAACTCAACTCCCTGGTAGCCGACCGACAGGTACAGACATGCAGGGATAAATACACAGGGGCCCGAGCGACGCCTTCTACGATCCGTCGGGATGGGCGGCGCCGCCTCCCCGCTTCTCTGGAGCATGGGGTACGACCCCCTCATCTCAGCGATTGCCTCCATCACAGGCGAAGAAGACCCCGCTTACGTTGACGACCTCGCAGCCCTCCTCAGCACAACAAAGCAGGCACTGCGCGCGGCCATCGCCCTTCCCTGGGCCGCCCGGGCTGCCGGGCTCTTGGTAGAGGCCCACCGTTGTAGAGGAATCAGGACCGCAGACTCCCCAGCCCTCAGAACCGCGCTGGGAGAGGCACCTGTTCACTATGAACATGACGGTGACAGCGTGCTGATCTCCGGGTTCCCCAGCGTGCTCATACAGTCCCGTGGAAGGAAGCGCAGGGCAGGTCCCGCCCAACTGGTGTATACCCCCTTCCAGCGCCCCTGCAGCTGCGCCTTCAAGACGGCCCTTGTCCCTGCTGGTCATCAAGAATGGTGGCGAGCCCTCATGGAGCGCACCCCATTCGGAGGGTCCTCGGTGCGGGACCAGTGGCCCTATCTCGGGGCAGTAGTCGTCTCCCGAGCAGCTGAAGACGAAGTGCCTCCCCCTAACGGAGGGCTCACTAAAGGGCAGGAAGACGCCCTAAACAAAGGCACATGGGACCGGCCCCTCCCAAAGATGAGAGACAGAGCCACGGCCCTCCACCTGGCCAAGATGCCCCCCTGGCGCACGGCGGCAGCCGTATCTGGTCTCCCTGGCCCCGTGCGCCGCCCACTACGCCCTCCCCGACGTCGTGCAAGAGCGCGAGCTACGCGTCCAGCTCAGAACCGCGCTTGGCCTGGCTGGGTCCTCCTGGGCCCCCGATTTCGTCCTCACTGGGGTGGGCATGCGCTTTCAAGTGCAGGGCGCGCCCAGGTGCCCGGTCGCGACAGCCCGTGCGGTCGCAGCCAGAGCACACGCTCTCAACGACTTCTGGGGCCCCATTCCGGTCAGGAAGCGCGCCAGGAACA